AAAAATAATAATAATCAGAATAAAAAATAATAATAATTAAGAATCAAAATCACAAACCCCCGGATCTCCCAAAGAGGGAACCGCCCCAAAAGAGGAAAACAGCCACTTACCAGAACAGGACAAGTGTCCGCAGGGCCCTAGCTTGAAAAGGAAAGAGCAAGAATGCCTCAGGAGCGCAACGAGTCTACCTGAAGAGAGGATTTGCCGAATTCATCGAGCACAGATTCAATACTAAACTGCCAGATATGGACTGGTATCTATATACGTATGCAGGAAGCTTAGCTGGAGGCCGATACGTGTCCCAAAGCGGATAACACCCTGGTCCCGAAGCGTGAGCGAAGTGGATCAGCGGACTGGCGCCGGCCACTAGAGCATCATTGCGTAGGACTGGCGCTGTTGATGACGACGAGTCCAGGCGTTCTTATCGCCAATCGAAAGCCTTCGGGCCAAATTCTCCGAGCCAAACGAAGCAAGTAAGCAATGCATACCATCTGTCGATTTCTGGGCGGGTCGGTCCGACAGACATGATAGATATCTGGGACTCCCTCCAGAGGAGAACATAGATATCTACCTATCCATTCGAAAAAAAAAAAGAGGATGATCTCCATTGGGATATACGAGCAAGTAAGACATCGGCTACTATTCCAGGATCGCTTGATGAGACACACGGGACAATTTTCCACATAGACTGAGAAGTCAAAAAGTCAAACGAAGTCCACCACAAAAAAATATTGATGCCTTGAGCTTCGGGGCCGAGAAACGAAGTACCAAGTGGAGCGGCAGTTCGTTTGTAAGTGCTCGATTCGGCTTAACCTGGAAGGTAATCTATTGACAATGGCTAATAAGAACACTCCCTCACTCGTTGCTCAATCCGACCGTTCCCCATTTCATTGTGAGAGAAAAAGAAAAAAAAAAAAAGGGAAAACTATTGGCAGAAGTGGATGAAAGCTATACATTGATTTTTAATTATTCTTGATTTGTTTTGATAATTGGCTTCGAGAATGATCCAATCCCGCCTCGGCATATGCCTGAAACGGGAGGTCCTGTCGAAAATGACCCAATGGATCCAATGGAACAAGGGAATTATTTGCAAGGACGACATGTCCAGTACATCCATCCTACTCCTGAGTACTAGTATGATGAATGTCATTAAAATCAAGAATGGAGCAGGCCCCGTCTGCCCAACTCTATATTAAACGACAGTCCCTACCCGGGGACTCGTTTCATATAGATGTTCCAAACGCTACCTTCTCCTCTCGATTCCCCTCCGTATCCAGTAACCCTAATGATTATCCTTATGTACTTACAAGATGCGTGGCATCCCACGGTGGTTCTGTCGTACATTAGGCTTTCCTCTCATCTTAAATTTTGCATTTTCTTGCTACCCGTCTACTTTGGTTGGGTCCGTTGTCAATCCTAATTTGTTTCTTTCCAAATTTCTCTATGTCATAGATTTACCCTTTTTATTACATCCCAAGGGGGCCACATAGGACAAGGCCGAGATGCGTTAATAAATGTATATACTCGAATGCAAATGCCGCTAAACAAAAATCACTTCTAGCGCGGGGGGGTATAACACAACGGTCAGGCAGCGCAACGATCTTCGCTTCAACTGTCACGATCGAACCGACTCAACACCTCGGGAGGCACGGTAGGAATATACTTGCGTGCTCGTTCTCGGTTGGTGCCGCCCCATCCCGCCCCGTAACTGATCAACATGTCGGTGCTAGTAGGTAGTGAGAAGGGAAGGGTGAGGGATGGGTCCAAGAAGATCCCGTTGGCTCCATTTCGCTCATCCATACGCGGTGATGTCATGAAAGACCTTGGAGATGCGGCGGAGGCTTGCTCATCAGGTTGATCTTGTCGAGGAGTCCGAGGCCGCCCCTCCGCCTGCCCGGCTTCTGGCTCCGCCGCTTGCTCTTTGCCCCCTTGAAGTTTTGCTTGCTCTCGGAACAACACGTCGGGATCGCGTTGCAGCTCAATCAGGAATTTCGTCGCTGGCTTCGTAAGACCCTTCTCTCCTACCTCAGGCCGATATGACTTCACCGCATGAAGAAGCTGGGCTGGCGTCAGTTGCTGTAACTGAAGCAATGTGGTGACAAGGGACTCGAAATCATCTCCTAAAGATGAGAAGCACTGCAGCCATTGTAATAGCTGGATAACCGGGGCCAGGTGTCTGCGGGCGGCGTCCATAGTGCTTTCGCCAGTACTAGACATAGACCCATTTTCATAGTGCTCAGGCTGGCGGTTATTGTTACGTGCCCAGTCTTCCAAGGTTGATACGTTCATGCGAATCTGCATAGCCTTGGTCCGGGCTAAGTACCGTTTGGTGGTCATAATGCGATTGAAGATCTCCGCTCCTAGCCAGTACAGCAGCTGTGACAGGATCTGAGTAGTAATGACTGAGTGAACATCGTAGAGATCTAGCACGAAAAGGGTTGAGGAAAGCAGGGAAGTGATATTCCGCGGTGAAACCTGTGCTCGTCGCCGCGGGGATGGTGGCCGGAAGCGCTTCTCGGCGGGCTCGGGGGCTTTGGTCTTGGTCTTGGAGCGGAAAAGCTTCCACTCGTTTTGGAAGTGAACATCTTCTAGTCCGGGGATCGTCTCGTGATCGAGCATCGCCTCGTCTAGCACCTTATTCATTCGGCGCTCGGCGTCCCGGATGATTAAGATGAATATCTCATTTATAAGTTCCGCCAGGTGCAATTGGAACTCGACAGTCGCCTCCACGAGACCCCCGTCCTTTTTCAGGTAATGTAAAAGTAAGGTGGCGTTCGACATCCAGAATGCCAATATCGTCATGTCCCATTGATGACGTTCAACAACATCGTTGATCTTATCTGTGGCTGAGACAAGTAACTTCGCGAGTAATTCGGGGCTAGCATGGTAATGTGCGTACCGGGCACTAAGGAAAAGGAGGTTGGCGGGGACTGGCTTCTGCGACGGAGATCGCTGCGGAGTCATGTTCGTGATGATCATATTTAAGATCCTCTCTAGTTCGCTTTCCTGGAAGACGAACATTTGGTCGTTCAGGCATCGATCCCAGACAAATTCCTGTTGTTCTTCTTCCAGCTCTTCCTCATCCAGTGACTGCTAGACAGTTCAGAATCAGCGCCGCCATATGAAGTAAAACTATACACTTACATCAAACTTCTCATCGAGCCCCAGGCTTGATAGGTCAACTTCCAGATTAATAGCACTTTCTTCCATCATCATCCTTCTCTTCATTTCTGTCTCCGCAAGTTCCTCCTCAAACCGCCCGTGCGCCAAACCAGCGTCGTAAAAATCATCTTCAATCACAGTAGGACCAAAATGATAGCCGTTCTCATGCAGATATTCCGAAATCTCGCTTCCCGGCTGGGCGAAATCAAAAGCAGTGCCCCCAGACGAGGACTTGATATCCGGCGACGCTCCGTGGTCGAGAAGGATCTTCGCAATCGTCTTGTGTCTGTTTGTCATGGCCCACATCAAGGCGCTCCATTGATTGCGATCCTGTTGGTCAACATTGGCACCTGCGTTCAGAAGGGCTGAAACTACGTCTTGGTGCCCCTGGATCCAGTCAGCCGCGGTAATCGCATTGAATAAAAGGCAAAACCCGGGGAATGGATTACATACAAAGCAACTGGCATAGATTAACGGCACGGTTCCCTCCTCATCTGGCAGATTCACATCTACATAATCTTTCGCTTTGCCCTGTACCAACTTGCGCACACGTTCTACATCGCCGTTGCTCGCAGCCATGTTCAAACTTCGTTGCAAGATATCCTTCTTCTCTGCTTCCGACAGCTTTTCATCCGCTGCGATGGTTTCCTCATCCGCGCCTAGTGATCTACTTCCCGGTGGGCCGCCTGCGCAGCGAGCATCTCCATCAGCCGCGCATCGCTGTCCTCCAGCCGAGCCGTAGTAGTCGACTCATTATCGTCATCCACCGCAGCCGCAAGGCCCCGCCCATACTGGGCCTGTAAACTATGTTCGTCGTCATGCGAGTGATCATCCAGGGCGAGACTGAAGCTCAACGGTTTCGCAGCCACAGGCGTCGTGAGAAACTGGGATTGGCCTAGGGTGAGAAGAGGCCGAGGTCAGCAATCTTTTCGTGTTCAGGACTTAGTGGGTTGAGCATAACACGGTCGCGTGCTGCTCTTTGTATATATAGAGTTGTGGGAAGTCTCCGTGGCCTCGGAAACTATCTTTAGTTCCTGCAGCCTGCGCGACCGTACAGCGGGGAAGAAGTTGCGCACCTTGCCAACCATCATACATCTCAGTCTCGGGTTGAATCATGGGGACGGAACGACGGTCGTCCAAAGACTTGGGTAAATCATCTGGAAGCTCTTGAGAAAGTTGCTTTTTGTGAGTGTGAATCGGGTCAGGATCACTATCGTTGCGGTCGACCTCGTCCGAAGCCCCGCGGAGGGAAGCAGTCGAATCCATAATGACGGAGAATCAAGCCAGCTTCAAGAACCAACAAAGAGGACACGGGATCGCAAAAGAGGTACTAGCTCCATGGAGGAGAAGCGAATGGTTGCAATGGAAGAAACGGTTATCTTCCTTCTTCAGGACGAGGGAAGGGCTGAATGGGTTTCGGGAGGCGTAGAGTGGACGGCCAAGGAGATTGGGATGTTCCTGGCCGAGGAGTGACTACGTAGATCAACACAGCCAAGTCATGCAGCTTTCTGGAATGCCTGATTTCCCAGACACCTCCACCCGGAGTTGTCTCCGGCGCCATGTTTTAGATTAATAGGCTATGTTTGATGTATACAGATGAAATGAGAACCATAATTCAAAACAAAAGGCGCTTGATGCTCATGCTTTCAACCCATTGGATCCCATATCAACAACGCTAATGCTCGCAGACGTAACCTCAGGCCCGAACCGATATCAGATCAATACACAAATAGCAACATTCCCCCAAGATTTTAACAATCAAAACAAACATGAAACAGAAAAAGAAAAAGCCGGGCGGGCGGGCTGATGCAAGTGTATAATGTACATGTGTTCGCAGTTCATGATCACAAATAACAAAAGTCGTTAACAAATGCCAATCGCACAAAGCAAAAAGCTGGGGTATTAAGAATGGGTATTATATCGGGTATACTTCGAAGGGACCAAATGTGACTTTGGGTTCCTCCTTTTTATCTATTCTCGTGAAATCTTGCCGGGCAACGGTGATCGATTACTCAAGCCGCTTGCTATGAGTTTGGATTTCCTCTTCCGAGAGCGATGCAATCCAAAGACAGCGTTCGATGATGCCCTGCACCGGCGCGAATGTGTACTTGGTACTAGCATCAATCAAGCGAAGAAGACTTTTCACTATTTTAGCGGTCGTGCGGTAGCGTTCGAAGTTGATCAAAGGCTCTCCGTCATGGGCTGCAACCTGTGCTGGCTTCTGGGAGTTGTATGTAAGGTCATGTACATACAGACCTAATTCTCCGGTTAACCTTCGTTCTCAGGCTATCTGTGGGCTGAAAGATGAAACTTACCAACAAAGGGAATGCAACCCCCTTGTACATTTGCTGTTTCCATTTCGACACGAAGGTCATGGAAATTACGCACAGGCTGGATAAGCACTTCCATATCTTTCAAGAGGCCTCTATCTTCAGATGGCACAAGTGCCCAAGTCTGTTGAAGCCGAGAGCAATCAGTAGAGGATAGCGCGATAGCGATCTGAAGCATAGTCGCATAATTACACATGCGTCTGGCATGTGCAGCCGTATGGATGAACTTGGCAATAGTGCGAGCCCGCTCATGGATATCACGTGTGAGAACGATCTCCGAGAGGATCCATTTCACCATTAGGTTGAAACGTCCCACAACAAGATCGATGCCCCGGCGCTCTTCTTCCATGAGAAATTCCACCCAGCTCACTGACGAGGGAGATCCACTACTCCATCTCATGTCAACAAGATCCTTCCAGTCGATCTCACTAAGTGCAGCCATTTCTATTATGGTCAACTGTTGGGCGAGATTTCGAGATTCGCAAGAGAGGATGAAAGGTACATGATCAGGTTCGAGGTCCTGGTATTGACGGCCCCATTCTGACCGAGAAAGAACATCGCCAGAGACGTGTTGTGTATCTATTGCTCGGACGTGTGCGGACTCAATGTTTCGACTGGGGGATGGATCCGGTGTCAAGGGTGGGGCCTGGAAAAGAGCAGGATTCAAGGGGGATGCGCAGGATGTCACAGAACGGTGTTGTATGGTCATTGGAGGAGTAGGGGGATGGGCGAGAGGATGGCGTGGTATACCTAACGACGATCGGCTCATGCTGTCTGTATAAAATGAAAGCCGTTGATCGGCCGCCTCTTGGGAATCGAGCAAGTTCGCTGAGTTCTCAGAAAGGCCTGATAGACGGCGACTAAAGCCATGAGGCGCCGGGAACGTTGACCCTCGTGGAATGCGCTTGATACTCTCGGTCTCCTTCACGATATCGAAAGAAGGGTGCGATGATTCTGTATACCAGGTGTATTTACTTGAGGCATCACTCGGCTGGACTCGACCAGGCGCAGCCTGATGTGAATTGGTTCGGCTCTGGCTAGGCTTTTTCATTGATTCATCGCTTAGTCCACGCTCAAGGAGAGGTATAGAGCTGTACGAGTCTTCCGACTCTGCGAGCGACTCGGAATAAGGCCTGCGAGGGACACTGCGCCCTCGAAAGTGTGAATAAGCCGAGCTTTCGCTGGCCAAGGTTTGGCGTCTATGGACCCCAGCGTCCCATCCGGTGCGGACATGAGGAGTGTGGTAGAACTCCTGTTCACGCGCGCTACGCTGAGCCTGGTGGTTCTTCTGCGGCTCAGCAGCAGTGTCAGTGGGCCCTCCTGTCCATTTACCTTCAAGCTTCATTAAAGCTGACTCGACTCCCCCGTCGTCGTCGTCTGGAATTTGCGCAAACTGCGCGATGGCCGCCTCAAATGAACGCCTTAAATCCTGTGACGAATGTGTTTGTAGGAGTGAGAATCGAGGGTTAGGAGGAATTAAATGGGTTAGAGGCCTCGAATGAACATCTGTCGAATGACTGGCTCCGCTATCAGCGGTAGAACTCCGGTATGTAGTACCTGACACAAAAGACGCTGGCTGTGAGGGTAATGGACTACCCAGCCATCTCGCATCTGACGTAGATCTCCACCAGGGCGTCTGCGAAGCGTCGGACCAGCCGGTTTTTCAATGTTTCCTGGCGAGTCTTGGTCTACACTCGGAATATCTGGCTCGGCAACCACTGCCAGACGCTGTCTTGATATTCCGCTTTGAAAAGAAGCATACTTGCGAAGACGAAGTGATGGCGACGTCCTTTTCCATGATGTTGATCCACGCCCTACAGAGCTAGACCTTTGTGATGCAAAGAGGCCTGGCGGGCGCAGAAACTGGGAGGCTCTGCTGAGTGATCTAGAGTCCGTGTCGTCGAAATAAATGGGCAACGAATATTCATCACCAGCAACTGTTGACCTTTGGGATTGGGGATAGAAAGAAGCAGCTCTCGGAGTAATGGGCGAATGCTCTCCGTTCAGAAAGCCAGGGGGTTGTTCGAGACCAACCGCGCCGGACATAAGAGGATTTCTAAAACCAGTGTCATCAACGATGACGATAGATTTACTGCCACCCGTCAATACACTCTTAGTTCGACCTTGGTCAGGCCGAAGGGCCGGGTGATCAAGTTCATCGACATCCACGCCAGGTCCGACCCAGGATCTTTTGGACCGCAGAGTACCCGCCTCCTGAACTGGGTCATCATCTTTGGCGTCGACATACCCAGTAAGAGCACGGTGATACTCTTGCAATGACCTATCACACAGGATATCAATCCTCGCCGGTTTCTTGGCCGCAGTCGCTGCCTTTCTGTCTCGGTAGTAATCTGAACCAAACGCGACGTTTGTTGGCATAGCTGACGTTTTGCCTCGAGTTGACGGGGCGAAATGCCCGTGTGTGTTCCGCGTAGATGTACCTTGGCCCCCACTTCTACTGTTCAGAGCACGGCGTATCGACCCAATAATAGTCTTAACGCCAGAACTCGAAATAGCAGGCTTAGATGTTTCCTCAGGCTGACTTTGTCGGTCCGTGCCAGAAGAAAACGGTAGAGGGGGAGACGGCGGGGCCATCATTGTCATGTACGACTCAGCCGGAGCATATAGCTCACCGCGTATTAAGGCACCAAGGTTCAGGGTATCTGCGGTCGAGAGGTGCCCTTGCGAATCGAGCTTGAGCAAAGACAAAGGCGCTCTGCCGTCTCGCGCAGAATCTGAGAAACTACCACTGCGTTTATGTGCATGGCTATGGAAGGGGAATCGCCTTGATGCGACTGGGGAAGATGTAGGGGGATCCTGCAGGGAACCCACTGGTTTCAAAGGCGCAAGAGCCACTAGATGTGGGCCCTTGGTGTCCATAACTGACATAGAGAGGCGTTTAGGAGATTTAGGCGGTAGAGAACACGACGTTGCGTGAATACTCTGGTCACTGTCTGCCGAGACTGGCATACTCTTGGCAGTAGCTGATGAATCATTCCGCACATGGGGTGGCCGGGGCCGGCCTTCACGGTCCTGGCCACTTGTAGTACGAACCATTTTTAGATGACTTTCAGCACAGCCTGTCGCCAGCTGTTCATCGCCGCCTGGAACAATGAGGTAATCTGGGGTGTGGTATGCGATGTGTTGGTCCTGAAAGTCCCAGTAGGAAGAACATCTTCCATACCAGCACCGTTTGAGGTCGATGAGGATCTTTAAATCACTCGTTCCGCCACCTTCTCGAGCCTTGACACTATCATACATACGATTGATCGTTTCACAGAAACGAACCCGAAGGTCATAGTCAGGAATAAAATCGTCGACAAAGTAATTCAGGATCCAATGTCGAAGAGCTGCAAACGTGCGAATACGAATGATTCTCCCATCGTCTTGCGGGCGGTTAATCGCCCATTGCAGTCGCGCAAGCAGAAGAGCAAGGAGAGAGCTGGCGGAGAGATAGGAACGAAATGTGAGGAAGAAATCCGAGACCAATTCATAATCCATGAAAGATTCAGACGATATCTGCGCAACAATGCGGGCCGGGGTAGCAGCGCTGATGTCCTTGGTACGTGGAACATACCGAACTACCCGATCATCATCCATCTCCGGAACTAAATTCTCGAAAATTGACGGCTCAATGGGCTCTTTGAGTTCATATAGGATTGGTTTGTCGGTGGCAGTAGAGCCCCGAGTTAACTCTATGGCAGGTGTTCCAGAGAACATCGAGGCGGCAAAGGACGGCCTATCTGGTTGGCTAAGATAAACATCAGAGATCGGGCCAGTGTTCAAGCTTTCCCGCAAGAAGCGCGCGGCCAGACAGTTGTCCGATAATGAGGCCCTCGAGTATATAGAATTGTAAAGGGGAGTGCTTCCATCGGCACCATAATGGGAAAAATCCCAGCCGTAATGAGGTATTGAAGTCCCCAGGGTTGGGCGTAAAGATCCATCTGCAGACTTGGGTCGGTCGTCCGATCGATCAATGAAGATACGAAATTCTCCGTTGGCCCCTGCGCGAAAGGTTGATCCCTGCTCCGAGATTGTTGAAAAAGAGCGCGCTCGAGGGCGCGGGTGATGGAGGGAACGATATGGTCCAGATCGCGTCGATTCTGTTTTAATCGACTTACGGTCGTCGCACGTTTCTTCAGGTATGAGTTCCGGGCGCAGCTCCGAGAGCTGCGAGTTGGACCACCGAGAAGGTTCGTCCACTCCATGGCCGTCGAGTCCGCGCGAGTGGACGTGGTCGCCTTTAGATTGGCCGACAGACGAAGCAAAGGGCTGCGGACGAGGTTCCTTGAGAGACTGGTTACGAATCGGTCTAATAGATAAGCGCGCTAGTTAGTTTTCTGTTCAGTCTGTCACACCCGTCGCACGGGTCCTGGCGAATTACAACCTGGCCTTACCTCAGGAAGATCTTTCCATTCTGACCAACATTTCCAACCGTGAAATGGTTCGCTTCCCTCGCTGCTGCAGGCGTATCACGTGGAGAAGCCGGGGTGTCGAGTCGTTTAGATGAACGCTTCCGAAGCAATTCATGACTGTCCTTCACCCTTAGAAACGAGGTTGCTATTCTCTCCCTTGCTGTCTTGGAGCCCACTTTTGATTTCTCTCCCACATTCTTTCCCTGTGCCACTGTGTGGGCGCGTCGCAAAGTGCATATCGCATTCTTGTCCTCGGGGGTGCTCTGCGTATTCGAACCGAAGTTCCGTTCGAGTAAAGCGGTTATCGATTTGCCTGGTGCATGACCTGGTTTCCCACCGGGCGACTCCACGCGCGTCAAATTCGGCTCCATATCGGATAAAGTAGTGTACCCAATACACGCTGCTTCTCAGCAAGGACCAGGAGAGGGCCCCTACCCTTACGATGGCAAATATAGAATCTTTCATCCACCGAGTCGAAAAGTTCTAGATGGTACAAGAGAGCATTAATAGCCTCAGCCAGGATCGTAGTCCGTTCTTGTGACACGACATGACCAGACTCGGTACGATTGGAAAGATCAAACGTTCGTTTAAAGGCGACGGGACATGGGGGGGTTTCTTTTTCTTTCTTTGCGATGTTGTAGGGAAGATGGCAGTAGATATTCGGAAAGCAACCGGAAAAAGTGAAGCGTAGGAGAAGAAAGAGAAACGAGTGAATGTAAGTACAGTGAAGAGGGAGAAATAATATCGATAGGGAAAGTACCAGTAAGAACGACGTAAACAGTGATCATTAAAAAAAAGAACGGGATGAGAAGAGTGGAGGAGGAGCGGCGCGGTGGAGTTGGAGAGGAAAAAGACGCCTAAAGGTACAGATTTAGTTGGCCACTAACCAGTGAAAAACTACCGTACTCCGTACTAAAAAGAGTTCCAACAGAGCGGAACCATCCACTGCAGCCGAGAGGAACCATCCAGCAAGCAGTCCTGTTGGGGAAACTCGGTACATCCATACACCCAGTTATACACTGAACAAACTCCAAAAAAAGACTGTTCTTTTTTTTTTCCCTTTCCTTTTGTTTTGTTTTGAAATGTTTCTTTTTTCGAGGCAAGGCACTGAAGGAATTTCGGCGCATTCTGCGGAGTATCTGATAGTCAAAGTATATTTCCTGGAAGCAAGTATGTTCACTCGTTACGGGCGAGAGGAGAGTCCCTCTTTCGAGGGATTGCAGATATTAAGTCACCCACTTGGCTTCACCCTCCGACGATGATCTTAGCCATACCAAGTGCGGAGTACTCGTGAACTACTATATCGCCTCCTCGCTACTCGTAGTTCCCTCTAAAAGTCGGTCAGCTGAGGTGTTGATCTACCAAAATCCAGATCGTGGGACGACCTCCGAGCAAATCGTAACCGCGGTACTATTGAGGAGACTAAGTACGGAGCACTACTGGTAGTCCGCGTGAGACGACGCGTCTATCACTGGTCAAGGCTGTCATGCCATACACGAGACTTCTAACGACTCGACTTTCTGTACCGACTTACTCACCACTTCACCTTAGTTTGGAGTAAGAATTCCTGGAAGTGAGTGGATTACTTGCCTATTACATGATGATAATGGCCCTTGAAAATGGACTCGTCATGGGCGCCTTCAGGCTTGGCTCAACAAAACCGATCGGATCCGAATTGGTCTATTCTACGTCTACTGGCGATACTCGTGCATTGAATGTACACTCAACACCTCGATCTGTCAGTTCAGACTTTCTGTGGTCGGCTTACCGACAGTTGATGTCTACTTCAATAGCTTGCGAGGTAGCATCGAATAAGCCGTCAGAAATACTACCTCACCGAGCTAAGATAAAAACAAACGAAACGAACTCCATGATTGGGCCCAATACCTTGGGAATATTAGAGCTCTTTTTTCACTTTTTTTTTCTTTACGTATCAGATTACTTTTGCTTTCCCTCACTTGTGTTAATAAGGGCGCAATCTCCAACCTCGGAATTTAGGGGAACAGTAATGTGGAGCCTCTTGAAAATTGGGAATTTGGGCACATCGAATGATCAGCCCATCTGTGACATCCTGGACCGTACCCAACGTTCATCAATACCCCTTAAACCCAACATAGGGGATATAAAGGTTAAGATAAAGAGAAGATAGAGAAAAAGGGAGATATTTCTTGAGAAGTCTCCTCGGCTACAATAGAAGGCAAAGGGGTTAAAGAAAAAAGGGGGGGCTAGAAGAGAACTGAAGAGAGAAAAAGGTCAAGAATAAATAATTACTAGCAGGAAATCACATTGGCCAATCCATCTAAGCTTCGTGCAGTCGACTTACATTAGCACCTGCGTTGGTCGGGGTATTCGGAAGCCGTTAGGTGCCAATGACAAGAAGAGTTCAGGGCCCCAGAATGACAGGAGTTTTCCCAGCCTCGGGAATGATGCGGTTCATCAACCCTGGACTATCGTTCTTCCGGTTAGCCTGTTGACCGTTGTGGCGGGTCTGAGGCCGATCGTCTCTTAGCGTCCAGCATTTAAGGGGATGGGAAGGACAGCTCTGCGAGGGTCATTTTCTAAAGAAAGATCAAAATAAAAACAAAATAAAAGGAAATAAAATAAAATAAAAATTAAAAAAGGATCATGTCTCCTTTTCAAGGAACTAGACCTCTAGAACGTTCTATTCTTAGGAAAGCAGATAGATCTATGGGGTATAATGGTATAATAGCCGGACCCTCTCGATGAGAGTGTAGCTTGGTACAGTACGGAGTACCAAATATCCCATTTCAGTTTGTTGATTAGGGAACTGACCGGGCGCTGTCCCGTCTCAGAAAGCCAAAGAGGATGGTAAAACTACCCAAAAGATTGATCAATAACGTACATAACAAGGCAACCCAAACGGACGATAACAGTCTAGCCCGCAAACTGACCTCTAGCGTTGGGGCTTTCTACTGCCGAAATTTGGATGTCAAGCGCCGAAGCCTTGCAGTACCTAAGTGGATCAATAGACCCAAATTCGGTTGGACGTTAGAGTGTGATCTACTCGACTGAGGGAGCACGAGAAGTGGTCCAAGGTCCATAGAGGAAGGCAGCAAATAGGGAGAAGTTCGGATAAGGGAAGTTGATGGGTCAAAAGTCGGAGCCCACCTCCCAGACGTTCCGTGAGTACGAGACTACGAGTAGTCAGTAAACTTAGTATCTGCAGACAAACTGCATCACAATAGCATATATACTTCACCCGTCTGCTCATATGATCAGAAGAAACATGAGCTATACATCGTACTTTTGTGAATTCGGGACTGTTTTAGGCAAGGAGCTATCTGATCTTCGATCCGAAACCTTCGACGCCCTTTTCTTCCACCATGTGGGGATTCTCTCGAGTCGACTACTGTCTCATGTCAAAACTCTGTTCGCCTTGAACAATGAAGTGCCCTTTTAGCTGTGTTTAGGCAGCCTGTCAGCAGGGCACTTGACCTGTCACGAGCCTAGGTATATCTCACAGAGTTATATTTTAGGAGCGGTAAGAAAAGTGCGGTGACTATCAGTGTCACGCAGCAAGGCATATGGTGCAACCACGGCTAATTTCTAGTATAGGCCTATCTGGTAAGACCTCAAATATTCTTTGAAGAGATCAGCCCGTAAATATAGCTTGTAACTCATTCTTTACGCGTAGATAGAATTGCTTGATAAGTCCATAATTATTCCCACAAATTACGCCATTCGTCCGATGAATGATGAATAGTCCCCTACCTCGTCTGTTTCAGCTACCAGAGCTTGCAGACGGGCTTCTTCATCGGGCAGTTAAACGCTTCCTTGAATTCTCGAGAGTTTTGCATTGTCCCCTATGGCGACCGTTAGCTACACTGCTTTCGGAGGATGTTCGATTTGATCAGAGGCTGGTGCAAGACTGAAAAGAGAAAATATAGCACTCACAATAATCCTTGCTGGTTTGGGGGCATGTGGGTCGTTGTAGATAGCCTTTCGAGCGGCTTCTGCAGTAGTCTTACTACACCACCAGTTTGAATATGAAATGAAGAAGAGCTGCTCCTTGGTGAACTTAGAAAGACCGGGCAGCTGAGGATCCGGGGAGACCTGTTCATGCTTTTTCCAAGCGTGATAGGCCGCACCAATTCCTCCCGCATCCGCGATGTTCTCACCAAGAGTAAGACGTCCGTTGACGTGGAGGGGCTCCGAATCCTGCTCAGGAGCGGTGAAGTCCGAGTACTGGTCGACAAAACACTGGGCTCGCTCTTCGAACGCGTCGACCGTCTTGTCATCCCACCAATCAGTATAGTTTCCAGTCTCGTCGTAGTGTCTACCTGTCGAATCGAATGCTATTGCAGCAGTGTAAGCCAATGCGTCCTCCATTTGCCTCCAACTATGCATATTGTCTCGCTACTTACCATGTGATAGTTCGTGTCCACTGACAGCTCCAAATGCCCCATAAGCCAGGTATAAAGGAGCAGATGGCCCGTAAAAGGCTGGGGGTTGCATAATCCCGGCAGGGAAAACGATCTCATTGCCCGGGGGGTTGTAGTATGCGTTCACGGTGGGCGCAGTCATGCCCCATTCATTTCTATCCGTTGGCTTTCCTAGCTTTGACCATTCATTGCGTAGGTCAAACTTTGCGGCGGCGACCGTATTCTCGAAGAAGGTTTCGTTGGATACCTTCAGATGCTGATAATACTTCTCCACATCTCCTGGGTCCATCACATTAGGACTTTGTGTGGGATAGCCAATCTTCTGAACAATGTTCCCGACTTTCTTGATGGCCAGATCTCTGACTTCGGAGGGCATCCAGCTCGTCTGGCGTAAGGTATACACGAAACGCTCCTTGATGTCTGATACTATCTGATCACCGAGGTCTTTTGACGCTTCAGAGAATGAATCAAGAACGTAAAATCGGCTCAACGTCCAGCCAAGGTTATCGTCCAGGGACCTAATGCATTTCCGCCATCTTTCTTCTGTGGCCTGCGGGTCCTTTCCTGCAAGCCTATTGTTGAACTCACGAAGAGGCTGGATTTTCGCGTCTTCTACTTCATCTGCGTAGGTCTGTATAATTTTCCAGCTGAAATAAAGATGGATGACCTCTCTTGGGGTATCGTTTAAGATGGATGATAATGATTTCATATAGGACGGAGAGCCCACTATCAAACGATCGCTTCTATAATCCGATGGTGCCAGAGCTGATATTATGTCCGACATGGAGATTTGCGGGAGGAGAGATTGGGTCTCCTCAATCGTCCGCGGGTTATAGGACTTGGTCACATCCTCCTGGCTTTGTGTGTCCGGGGTAACATCTGCTATTTTCGCTTCGAAAGTAACGACCTCGCGCAGATGGTGCTTTGTCCCACTACTAGCGGCAAACTCTCCAAGCACCTTCTCCACT